AGGACTCACAAGGAATGCCAGCCTCTGGTCTACTTGACCTTCAGGTCTGCCCTTAATACCATCTGACGAGGTGCAACCATTTTCCAAACTGTTGCAAGCTGCAGTGGTGTGCTGGAACCATCACATACTGACTGGTGAGAGTTGACTGTATGCATCTCTTCCCAGCTTACAATTAGTGGCAGTGCTGGTGCTTGAAGTTAGTCATGGTGAGAGTATATTTAAACCATGGAAATTGGTATGCCCTATTGATCAGGGCTTTTTTTTTTTTTTCCTGGAGAGCCAATTGTTAAACATTTGGTGGTGTAGTGCCTAAGGCATCTGCCTGCTAACCAGAAGTCTGGAGGTTCAAACCCACAGCCACTCCTCGGAAGGAAGACTGGGCAATCTACTTCCATAGTGATACCTCCTTGGAAACCTAAGGAGGGGTCTCTATGAGTTGGATCCAACTCAGTGGCAGTGAGTTTGATTTGGTTTTTGTCTAGTACAGTGCTCAAGAGAAATTCTGATAGAATGCCAGTGGCTAGTGGATTTGTGTGGGGAGACAGGCTAGGTGGCAGAACCTCTGAGAAATGGCTGTCATCAGGCAGGCTGATGGATTGATATGCCTGCCCTAGTTCTTCTTACTGAAAAGGAGACCTTATTTTGCTTTTTGCTTGTTCACTAGTTTGTTTCATTCAAAATTCATTTTTAGTCAGAAGTTTTAAGAAATACTGGGTTCTAAAGGAGAGTTTAGTGAACTGTTTGGAAATTTTAAGAGAGAATTCATATATAATATAAAAGATTGCATTAGATGACTTTTAAAGGAAGTAACAGACTTACTTTTTTGTGATTATATAATAGTGTAATAGTCTAAGAGTTTAGGATCAATATGTTTTCTTAAACAGGTCTTAAAGCATTTTATTTTATTCATATAATATGAGGAAACCAGGAAGATGTTATGCCTTGTTCAAAAGAAAAGTCAAAACAGGACAGATTTATATGAAATAAAAAAATGTTGAAATGAATTGCAAACGGAAACAAAATTGGTTTTTCAAAACCAGTTGTTGCCAAGTTGACTCCGACTCATGGCAGCTCCACATGTATCAGTAGAACTGTGCTCCACAGGGTTTTCAGTGGCTGGTTTTTCAGCAGATCACCAAGCCTTTCTTCTGAGGCACCTCTAGGTAGACTTAGACCGCCAGCCTTTTGGCTAGCAGCTGAGGGTGTTAATCCTTTTCAACACCCAGGTATTTGCATTCTATGGGGGAAAGAAGTCAGTTAAAATCACTCCAGTCAGGACAGCATTTACATAACTATCAGTTCCTTACCATTTACAATGTTGCAAAATAGCTGAAAGAAGTGAACCAGGCTATAATCTGATAATCGGAAAACTTATCTGTATACTATACTATTATTTATTATACTGTGTATATACTCTGGGAGCTCTGGTGGGGTAGTGCCTAAGGCATCTGACTGCTAACCAGAAGCCTGGTGGTTCAAACCCACCAGCCACTCCTCAGAAGAAAGATTGGGGAATCTACTTCCATGGTGATACTGCCTTGGAAACTCAAGGAGTGTTGCTATGAGTCAGATCCAACTCCACAGTAGTGAGTTTTTTTTTTTTTTTTTCTTATATACTCTACCACCTGTCCATCAGTTTGCAATGAAATCAGACCAAATGGGTCCCTGCCTGGTGTGCAGTCAGGCCAAAACAGTTTACACACCTAGTGATTAAGAGGAGAGAAAATTATTTATTGCAAAGTGGCAATGCAAGGAGAGACAGGGGTCTGTACCCAAATCTGACTCCCCGAATCCAGATCGAATTACAGTTTTGTAGGTTTCAGTAGAGAGGGGGTTATACATATTCATAAAAATTTCAGGAATTTGGGCATGAATTAATTGAGGATTGGCTGAAATTTTCTTCACCTCGGTTTAAAGGGACAGTCACTTTTTAATGCAGTGCACTGGATGAGTCACACTAGCTTCCTGTCATCAGCTGATGGGGCTTAGGTAGAGGGGAGAATGTCAGTTCCCTGCAACTTTGTTCCTGTTTGTCTCACTGCACATGTCCATGGGCCAAGGTCACTGTTCAAGTTGTCTCCCTTCAAGTTGTCTCCTGAAACACATTAACATACTTATCACCTGTTTCTAGGGGAGACAATGGAGACAATGTGTAACTGACCCTTTATTCCATTCGGTTCTTAAGGAACTGAGTTACTGTATTTACTTATCTGCCTTTAACCAGGGATGTGAGCTGAACTTTGACTCCACCCGGCTTCAGCAACACTGTGGTAGCTTCTGTGTTGCTGTGATGCTAGAAGCTATGCCACTGCTATTTCAAATATGAGCAGGGTCTACCATGGTAGACAGGTTTCAGGGGAGCTTCCAGGCTAAACAAGACTGGCAGGAAGGCCTGGTGATATACTGAAAATTAGCCAGTGAAAGCCTTATGGATCACAACATTAAAAAGCAAAGAAATCATTATGTTGAATAAAGACCCAACCCATGGTCTTTTTAATCACCTCATATGCATGTGAAATCTAGATAGTGAAAAAGGACTGTAGTGTTGGCAAAAAATACTGAGTATACTGTGAACTACCAAAGGAATTATTGTATTTTGAAGCTTGGTTAGTAGGCATATTCATATTTATTATGATTGTTATTGCTTCCTGATGGTGGACCCTTTTGTCATCATCAAATGTCTTTCTTTTATTGCTGGTAGTACTCTTTATCTTGACATCTCTAATATCTAAAATTAATAAAGCCACATCAGCCTTCTTAAGTTTACTCTTTGCATGGTATATCCTTTCCCCATCCATTTACTTCACTTTATCTGCATCTTTAATTTTATAGGATGTCTCTTGGAGATAGCATGGAATTGAGTCTTGAACTTTTATTCATTTGGACAATCTTTGTTATCAGACTGTCCATTAAGATTTAAGTAAACCTTGAAATGATTGTGTTTAGATTGCCATGTTAGTATTTGTTCTTTTTTCTATTGTGTCTTCTTCTTTTTTTTATTCCACTTTCCTCTCCTTTTTTTTTTTTTGCTTTCTTTTGGGTTATTTGAATATATTTTAGAATTCCTTTTTAACTTACTCGGCAACAGTGAGTGAATGTTATTGCTTATTGATTGGCTTTTTAAGGAGCTCAGATGGTGCAGTAGATAAGACATTTGGGTTCTAACCTAAGGTTTAGTGATTTGAACCCACCAGTGCTCTGTGGGAGAAGGGTGAGGCAGTCTGCTTCCATAAAGATTACAGCCTTGGAAACCCTGTGGGGCAGTTCTGCTTTGTCCCATATGGTCTCCGTGAGTCAGAATTGATATGATGGCAGCAGGTTTATTGGCTTTTTAGCTGTATCCCTTTGCATCATTTTTGTAGTGTTCCTGTAGGGATTACAATATATATCCTTAAAATTTCACAGTGCTGTTAGAGTTAATAGGAGCCCTGGTGGCACAGTGCCTGAAATATTTGACTGCTAACCAGAAGGCTGGTGGTTCAAACCAAACCCACCAGCTGCTCTGTGGAAGGAAGATGGATTTTACTTGTTAAAGCTTTACCTTGGAAACCAATGGGGGTTGCTGTGAGTTGGAATCAGTTTGATGGCAGTGGGTTTGTTTTTTTGGTTAGCATTAATATATATAATTATGTTGTTGTTGTTGTTGTTTTGTGCCATCAAGTCGGACCCGACTCATAGCAACCCCTCCTTGGGTTTCCGAGGCAGTATCACTATGGAAGTAGATTGCCCCATCTTCCTTCTGAGGAGTGGCTGGTGGGTTTGAACCTCCAGCCTTCTGGTTAGCAGTCAAGTGCCTTAGCCACTATGCTACCAGAGCTCCCATATATAATTATATCTATATAATATGTAGGGCATTGCAACCATGTGTATTCATTTACTGCTCCCCATCCCTTGTGCTTTACTTATCATTTTTTATATCTACATACATCATCAACTCTTTTTCACTATATAATATTTTTTTGCATTAAACAGTCCTATGTATTTTAGGGTAGGGGGAGCTCTGGTAGCATAGTGGCTAAGACACTTGGCTGCTAACCAGATGGCTGGCGGTTCAAACCCACCAGCCACTCCTCGGAAGGAAGGTTGGGCAATCCTACTTCTGTAGTGATACTGCCTCGGAAACCCAAGGAGGGGTCGCTATGAGTCGGGGCCGACTCGATGGCATATAACAACAACAACAACAACATGTATTTTAGGGAAAGTAAAAGGACAAAAAAATAATGCTTTATGTTTACACAACATTTTAAATTTCTGTTGTTCTTCATTCTTTCTGAAGAATTACGTTTCCGTCTGGTGTCATTTTCCTTTAGCTAAAGAACTTCCTTTAGTCCTTCCCATTATTTGTAGTGCAGATCTGGTGGAAATGAGTTATTTTAGTTTGCTTTTGTCTGGAAATATCTTTATTTATTGCTTTATTTATTTATTTATTGCTTTATTTATTTATTTATTGCTTTTTCATTCTTTTTTTTTTCCCCAAGTTTTTTTTTTTTTTTTTTTCTTAATTGTTATTTGGGTGAAAATTTACAGAGCAAATTCACTTTCCATACAGCAGTTTAAATACACATTGTCTCATGACATTGACCACAATTTACCACAATGCAACAGCTCCCCTCCCACTTCCTCCTGATAATTACCTTTTCCCTGTGTCCTTCCCTCAATGCCCTCCTGCTCCCTGAGCTGTCTCCCAGTGCATAAGCAGCACTTCTTTCTCCCATGATTGTTCCCTCCAAGGAGTGTATCTACCTCAGGTAAATGTTCAACTCATATGCCTATCTTTTGCTTGGCTGGAAGCCACAGTTGTGGGTTCAATTCCAGACCTCATAGGCAGCTAAGGGCCATAGTCTCAGTGGTTCCACTGTCCTACCTACTTAGTTTGCAATATTGTGAAGATAAAATGAAGGATGCAGGAGACAAACATAATTTGAATAGTTAAAAGGTATTGAAATATAGACCATTATCTTCCAAAAAGTTCTCAAACATTCTTAATTTGTATGACATAGGTGGTAAAATCGCCCGAAGAAGCATCTTCTCTTCCCAATGGTGATGTAACAGGAGAGACACAGAGTACTGCAGAGGTAAGAGCTGATATCCCAGCCAACTTGACTTCTCCCACACAAGTATCCTCAAACTTCTACTCCCTCCTTTCTCTCTTTCTCTTTTATCCTAAATTTTATTATTATTATTTGGTGAAAACATACACAACAAAATATACACTAATTCAATAGTTCCTGCATGTACAATTAGTAATTACATTTTTTGAGTTGTACAACCATACTCACACTCCTTTTCTGAGTTGTTCCTCCTTCATTAACATAAACTCACTGCCCCCTAAGGTTCCTATCTAATTTTTCAAGTTGCTGGTGTCAGTTTGATCTCGTATGGATAGCTCTTAAAAAAGCATAATGCTCAAGGCACAAGTACTGGTAAGATGGCAGAATAGACAGACAAACTACACAGACCCTTTTCAACAAAGAAAAGAGAATCCAGCTGACACAGATACAGAAGATAATCCTGGAGCCCTGTGCTTTGAAAGGAAGTGGACTAAACTCCAACTAGTAGAAGAACCTTCATGAAAATGCCAAATAAGGAGACAAATGAACTGTGGACTGTCAGTGATCCTGATGGCATGGACAGTTTGGATATTTCCAAGTGGTATTAGGGCCTAAGAATTAACCTAAAAATCAGCCCTGCTCGCCAAAGGCTACAAGGAACACTGCACTGGTGGCAAATGACTAAAAAGGGAAACAGCAAAGGAGGAGACAAACTGAGCTGTGGACTCTTGGCTGTCTGGAGGGTGCAGCCATTTTGAATGTTTGCAAGCAATTCAACCATTTTGGATATTTAAAGCATAGCCTTCTCTCAGATTCCAGGGACCTAAGAGTAGGCTCCCCTTGCTGAGGACAGCATGGAGACATACAGGAGGAGGAGGAGGACTGAAAAGGTGAGATATTCCTCTTCTTACCCTTATACCCCACACCCTCTTGGTGAACAGAGGTGTGGCCATCCCTCACTCCCACCCACCTTCAGGGCTGGCAGGAATTCCATCCCAGTTTGTGTGCTCTGATGGAGCTTGGGTGCCCTGCCCTGACCTCCCCAGATTTGTTTTTTGTTTCTTGTTTCTTTTAGTTTGTTTGTTTTAAAATTACTCTTTTCTCTTCTTCTTTTTTATTTTCATTCTTTCTTCTTCCCTTCCCAGGTTCTATTTTTTCATCTTTTTCTCTCTTCTCTTTTCCTGGTTCCCATTTTTTCTTTCTTCTTGTTCTCATCATCCTTGTTTTTTTCTTTGCATTTTTCCATTTTTTCCTTCATTATTCTCTTACTCTACATCTTTTCTCTTATTCCCCCTTCCCCAGATATTGTGTTTTTTTTCTTTTTCTATTCATATTTCTTCTGTATTTTTAAAATGTTTCTTTACGTATTTTGTCTCATTTATTGCCTTTCATATATATATATATTTTGCTTTCTCTTTTTGGTGATTATTTCTGTGTGTTTATGTAGTGTGTGTTTTTTGTACTTTTGCTTTTACTTTTTTGGTGGTTTTTCAACTGTTGTCTTTGCCTAACTGAGTGGGAGACAACCACCATGGCCATATGACCCTACCATACCTACACCTCCTGCAGCCCCACTTACTGAATGAGGGCCATCACTTGTTTCTGCACCAACTGGCCCATGACACATGACAGCCAATATGAACCTGACTCACCATTAACTGCTCTTCACAAACAGTTAACAGAGATCAGTGCAGCCACTCTCATACTCTATCACACCCACCAGGAGACGGGTGGTCAGTGCTAAGTGCTGCCAACTAGCCAATAGAGGAACACAGTACCCTCCTTACTCAGATACATCCAAACAAAACAAAATGAAAATCTTGGGCAAATCACTGTGACATACAATCACCAATTTTGTTTTTCAACATTAGAAAAATAACACAATCCATAATAATCCATCACATAAATAAAACAAAGGAAAAGAACCACATGATCGTATCAGTTGATGCAGAAAAGGCATTTGATAAAATCTAACACCCATTCTTGATAAAAAAAAAAAAATTTCATCAAAATAGGAATAGAATGGAAATTTCTCAACATAATAAAGGATACAAATGCAATACCAATAGCTAACATTATTCTCAGTGGAGAGAGACCCAAAGTATTTCCATTGTGAATGGGAGAGATAAGGATGTCCTCTATCAGGACATCTATTCAACAGTTATATTGGAAGTCCTAACCAGGGCGATAAGGCAAGAAAGGGAAATAAAATGCATCCAAATTGGCAACAGAGAAAGAAAACTCTCTCTATTTGCAGATGACATGATTGTATACATAGAAAACCAGAGAGACTCAGGAACTACTGGAACTTAGTGAAAGATCCCGAAAAGTGGCAAGATAACAAGATCCACATACAAAAATCAGATGGGAAGATGGAGGAATAGGCAGACAAGTGACTCAGACCCTCTTCAACAAAGAAAAGAAAAACCAATTGACAGAGATACAGAAGATAATCCTGGAGCCCTGAGTTTTGAAAGGAACTATACAGAAGTGGATTAGGCACCAACTAGTGGAAAAACCTGAATGAAAACATTGAGTACAGAGATGGTCGGAGCTGTGGACTGTCAGCTACCCTGATGAGACCAACAGCCTGAATATTTCCAAGTGGTGTTGGGACCTGAGAATTGGCCTAAAGATCAGCCCTGGTCACCAAGGACTGCAGGGACAACTGCGCTGGTGGCCTATGACAAGGAAGGGAAACAGCAGGAGGGAAACAACCTGAGCTGTTGACTTTCTGCTATGGGCACAGCCACTTTGATTGTTTACAATCAAACAATGATTACATGGCAGCCATTTTGGATATTTAAAGTGACCAAGGGCACAGCCATTTTGAATGTTTACACACAGGCACCATTTTGGATATTTAAAGTGACCAAGGGTGCAGCCATTTTGAATGTTTACAGGTGGCAGCCATTTTGGATATTTAAAGTGACTGAGGGTGTAACCATTTTGAATGTTTACAAGCTGTGGCCATTTTGGATATTTAAAGTGACTGAGGGTGCAGCCATTTTGAATCTTTACAAGTGGTAACCATTTTGGATTTTAAAGTTATAGCATTCTCATTTGGATTCCAGGGACCTAAGAATAAGCTCTGTTGGCAAAGGTTGGCAGGGGCATATAAGAGGCTGACAACAGGAAAGAAGACAGGTGGCAAGCATATAAGTGCTATCAATTAGTGAATAGAGGAGCACAACACAGGACCCTGCTTGCACAGATAACATACAAACAAAACAAAGAAAATGAAAATTCTGGGCAAGTCACTCCAACACACAATCACCAATTAAATACAAACACAAAAATGTCAGAAGGCCTTGGAGACAACAGAGCATCACAGTCCACAGAAAGAAACAAGATAAAGCAGGAAAAACAAGGAACCAGGATATAGACTCAAAACACATCTCTGAGGAAGACTCAGCATTGGAACTCCCTGATAAGGAATTCAAAAGAATTATATTTAGGTATCTTCAGTGAATTGAGAGAGAGATCAAGGAAAACACAGAGAAAATCCTACAACAATTTCGAAAGACAATACAAGAACAAAATGAGAAAATAAATGAAAAATTAGAAATGATACAAAATCTACACATAGAAATCCAAGAAATTAATACTAAATTTTCAGAAATAGATAAGATATTTAATGGGCAAAGGAGCAGAATTGAATCAATGGAAGACAGAATTGGTGAGATTGAAGGGAAATACCTGAACACTTCCCTGGAAAGGGATCAATCAGAAAAAAGATAAAAACAAAATGAAGAAAGCCTAAGGTTCATGTGGGATACCATTAAAAGGAATAACCTATGTGTAATTGGAATTCCAGAACAGGAAGAGACAAATAAAACCACAGGAAAATTGTCGACGATTTGTTGAAAGAGAATTTTCCTGGTATGATGGAAGATGAGAATACATCCATTCAGGAAGTCCAAAGAACCCCGAACAGGATAGACCCCCAAAAGAAAATCACCAAGACATATCATCATCAAACTCACCAAAACCAAAGACAAAGAAGAATCATGAGAGCAGCATGGGAAAAATGAAAAGTTACCTATGGAACAACCCATAAGACTAAGCTCTGATTTCTCAGCAGAAACCATGCAGGTGAGAAGACAATCAGATGGTATATATAAAACCCTGAAAGAAAAAATTTCCAACCAAGAATTATATACCCAGCAAAATAGTACCTTAAATGTGATGATGAAATTAGGACATTCCCAGATAAGCAGAAATTAAGGGAATTTGTTAAAACCAGACCAACCTTACAAGAGATGCTAAAGGGAGTCCTTTGGACAGAGAAGAAAGAACAGCCAACAACAACTGACCATTAACACACATGATGATAGAACCCAGAAACCAATCCAGCTATGGAAGAATCCAAAGTAAATAAGCCTACAATATTGTAAACAGGGAACTAGAGACATCATTTGACAAATAAGGACAACAACAAACCAAAAAGAGGGACAAAACTGTGTTGTTACAGAACTTCTAGATGGTAGGGAAGTCAAGACAACTACAAGATAGAACGGACTGTTCTAAACTTGGGAAGAAAACTATAAATCACAGGGTAATCTTAAAGAAAAATGATTAACCTTCATATCAAAATAAAAAGAGGACCAGCACAAATATTTAGCAAATACTAAAACAATCGCAACGAAGGAAGTGATAACACGATTCATAAACAAAACAAGCTTAGTATAGAAAATTATATGGAACAAAGAAATTGACACCATGAAAAAGCACATATGAACAGCAACCAATTCATATTTGCCAATAATTATGTATCTGGCAAGGGGCTTATCTCTCAGATTTATAGAAAACTCCAACGCCTCAACACCAAAGGAATTAATATAATAATCCAATTGAAAAATTGGCAGAAGACACGAATAGACACTTCACCTAGGAGGACATTCAGGTGCCTATCTAATATATGAAGAAACACTCACAATCTTTGGCCATCAGAGAGAAGCAAATCAAAACAATGAGATACTATCTCACCCCAGCAGTGATGGCAAGGTTCAATGAGGCAGAAA